GGACAGATAATGTCATTCTCATTTCCTAGATGAAGAAACAATTTCCAAGATGTTAAGAGACACTGAAAAAGTGGAAAGGACCTGGGCTGGTGGCCAGACAGATGATCTGGATTTGAAATTTGGCATTACCATTTATTAAACCTGTAATCTGTGGCCAGTTACCTAATATCTCTGGTCTTCTGTTTCCCAGTCTATCCAACAGGAAGAGTTCGTAGTATCTACGCAGGGGAGAAGTTGCAAGGGGATCGAGTCATATTTCAAATTTGGCCTATACATTTAGTGAATGGAATTTTCTTCTCTTCTTGCCTGAATTACCTAAAGAAGAGGCAGAGCTGGCTATGCCTCTGACCCATGCTGGAACTAGGGTGAGCAGGGCCTAGGAGATAGGCCCTAAGTTCTGACACCTCTTTGCCCTCTGCCTTCCCCTGTCTTCAGGTCCTGGAGAGTCAGAGAAGGTACAGCAGCTGGAGGAGCAGGTGCAGAGCCTGACCAAGGAGCTGCAAGGCCTTCGGGGAGTCCTGCAGGGACTGAGTGGGCGCCTGGCAGAAGATGTGCAGAGGGCTGTGGAGACAGCCTTTAATGGACGGCAGCAGCCAGCAGATGCAGCTGCCCGCCCTGGCGTGCATGAAACACTCAATGAGATCCAGCACCAGCTGCAGCTCCTGGACAACCGCGTCTCCACCCACGACCAGGAACTGGGCCACCTCAATAACCACCACAGTGGTGGCAGTGGTGGAGGCGGTAGGGCCCCAGCCCCTGTCCCAGCCCCTCCTGGCCCCAGTGAGGAGCTGCTACGACAGCTGGAGCGGCGGCTGCAAGAGTCCTGTTCTGTGTGCCTGGCTGGGCTGGATGGCTTCCGCCAGCAGCAGCAGGAAGACAGGGAGCGGCTTCGAGCACTGGAGAAGCTACTGGCCTCTGTGGAAGAGCGGCAGCGGCAGCTCACAGGGCCTGCTATGGGCCGCAGGCCCCTTCAGGAATGCTGCCCTCCAGAGCTGGGCCGACGACTGGCAGAGCTGGAGCGCAGGCTGGACGTAGTGGCCGGCTCAGTAACAGTGCTGAGTGGGCGGAGAGGCACTGAGCTGGGAGGAGCTACTGGGCAAGGGGGACACCCCCCAGGATACACCAGTTTAGCCTCCCGCCTCTCTCGCTTGGAGGACCGCTTCAACTCCACCCTGGGTCCCTCAGAGGAGCAGGAGGAGGGCTGGCCTGGGGGTCCTAGGGGGCTGGGCCTCTGGCTGCCTGCTGCCCAGGGCCGGCTGGAGAGGTTGGAGGGACTGCTAGCCAATGTGAGTGGGGAGTTGGGTGGGCGTCTGGATCTGCTGGAAGAGCAGGTGGCAGGGGCTGTGCAGGCATGTGGGCAGCTCTGCTCTGGGGCTCCTGGGGATCAGGACTCTCAGGTCAGTGAGATTCTCAGTGCCTTGGAGCGCAGGGTACTGGACAGTGAGAGCCAGCTGCGACTGATGGGCTCAGGTCTACACAAGGTGGGAGCAGCAGGGGAGGCCCAGCAGGCCACGCTAGAGGGACTGCAAGGGATTGTGGGCCAGCTCCAAGAGCGTGTGGATGCACAGGAGAAGACGGCTACAGAGCTCACACTGCAGCTGAATCTCACAGTGGCACAGCTGAGCCAGTTGAAGGGTCTTTTGCAGGCCCGTGGGGACGAGGGCTGTGGGGCCTGTGGCGGTGTCCAAGAAGAGCTGGGCCGTCTACGGGATGGTGTGGAGCGTTGCTCCTGCCCTCTGTTACCTCCACGGGGTCCTGGGGCTGGCCCGGGCGTTGGAGGACCAAGCCGTGGGCCTCTAGATGGTTTCAGCGTGTTCGGGGGCAGCTCTGGCTCTGCCCTACAGGCCCTGCAAGGAGAGCTCTCTGAGGTCATTCTCACCTTTAGCTCCCTCAATGACTCACTGCATGAGCTCCAGACCACTGTGGAGGGACAGGGTGCTGATCTGGCTGACCTGGGGGCCACCAAGGACAGCATCATATCTGAGATTAACAGATTGCAGCAGGAGGCTACAGAGCATGCTACAGAGAGCGAGGAGCGCTTCCGAGGCCTGGAGGAGGGACAGGCACAGGCTGGCCAGTGCCCGAGTCTGGAGGGGCGATTGGGCCGTCTTGAGGGAGTCTGTGAGCGTTTGGACACTGTGGCAGGGGGACTACAGGGCCTGCGCGAGGGCCTTTCCAGACACGTGGCTGGGCTCTGGGCTGGGCTACGGGAAACCAACAGTACCAGCCAGACACAGGCAGCCCTGCTAGAGAAGCTGCTGGGGGGTCAGGCAGGCCTGGGCAGACGGCTAGGTGCCCTCAACAGCTCCTTGCTGCTCCTAGAGGACCGTCTGCAACAGATCAGCCTGAGGGACCTCACTGGTAAGGGGCAAGAAGAGGCATGGGGAGACCCTTTCCAATCCCTTTCTTTCTTCTCCCACCCCACAATAGCCCAGGCTTGATCTTCTCCCTGTTCTGTCCAGCATGAACTACAGCTCAAACCAATGTCCCAGGGGTCACAATGTGTCCAGATATGATGCAAGGTTCTAGCTGCCTGCCTTCTCTCTGGCTGCTCAGATAGGTCTGTGGGTGGAGGTGGGATGTTGCTCTGCCAGCATCCAGCATGGGCAGCAAGGGTCCCATCTCCCCATCATCCTGCAAGTCCCGCCTATTTCACCCTATCTCCCTCTCCATGGAACCATCTTTCTCATCCATTGAATGCTCCCTTTAGGGCTCTCCTTCAACTTATTTTTGTCTCCATAGGGCCTCCTGGTGAGGTTGGGCCTCCAGGGCCTCCTGGTGTACAGGGACCCCCAGGCCCTGCTGGACCTCCAGGACTTCCAGGCAAGGATGGACAAAAGGGGCCTATTGGCCCCCCAGGTATGTGGGCTGTGACCCCTGCTGGAGCTAGGGTTGCCACTCCCTGGGCAGCCCTTAGCTTGACATTAATTACACTCTGAGCTTGACAGAGAAGGAGAAGCCAGTAAGAAATAAGGGACTCCGAATGACTAATAGTAGATAGAGGAAAGTGACTAGTAGCTGGCATAGTGCCTGCATTTGAGTATGTTGGTCCCACTGCTGTACTGGAGACTAAGGCTGAGCCTACACAGACCATCTGGGTGTGTGGAAGAAAGTCTAGAGGCAAGGGCTCATGGTCCAACAGTCAAACAGAATGGACCTTACCTATCTTTCTTTTTGGTATTGGAAATTGAACCTAGGGTCGCTTAACAACTGAGCCACATCCCCAGCCTTTTTAAAAAATGTTTTATTTAGAGACAGGGTCTCATTAAGTTGCTTAGGGCCTCAGGCTGGCTTTGAACTCACAATTCTCCTGAGCCCCTGGGATTACAAGTGTGTGCTACTATGCCTGGCTATTTCTCCTTTTCTTGATCCCTCTTTCTTGCTTTGAAATTCACATAGCACGCGGAATGGCAGAAGAGACACAGCAGATGTTTGCTGAGTGATTTTGTGAGAGCTGCCCTCCTTCTCACTGCTCCTTTTTCTCTTTCCACAGGTCCCCAGGGTGAACAGGGTAAGTTCCTCTCATTAGGTGCCAGAGGGAGAACTGATCTCTAGTTGGAGGATGGAAGTCCTCAGGCAGCCCAGATGGAGATCCCCTAGGGAAAGGGAGCCAGCTCTGGCTGAGCATCCACTCTAACACCTGCCCTACCCCCATGCAGGAGTGGAGGGAGCACCAGCAGTGTCTGTGCCTCGGGTAGCATTTTCAGCTGCCCTGAGTTTGCCCCGGTCTGAACCAGGCACAGTCCCCTTTGACAGAGTCCTGCTCAATGATGGAGGTTACTATGACCCAGTGACAGGTAAGCCAGGGATGGGCTGAACTGAGCGTTTGGGGAAATGCAGGAGGCTGGGCAGTGATGTCTTCTCATTCTTACTCCTTGATATAATGCCAATCTTTTTACACTCTGACTTGGGGAGACCTCTACTCTAGGAATCTATGCTCTGTGAGGCCTTCCAGGCTACCGTCTTCCCTTCTGATCGCTATCCTTGTCCCTAGGTATATTCACCGCACCACTGTCGGGACGCTATTTGCTGAGCGCAGTGCTGACTGGGCACCGACACGAGAAAGTGGAGGCAGTGCTGTCCCGCTCTAACCTGGGCGTGGCCCGCATAGACTCAGGCGGCTACGAGCCTGAGGGCCTGGAGAACAAGCCGGTGGCAGAGAGCCAGCCCAGCCCGGGTGCTCTGGGCGTCTTCAGCCTCATCCTGCCGCTGCAGGCGGGGGACACAGTCTGCATCGACCTGGTCATGGGGCAGCTGGCACACTCAGAGGAGCCACTCACCATCTTCAGTGGAGCGCTGCTCTATGGCGACCAGGAGCTTGAACAGGCGTAGGGGGGACTGGCCTGACCACCAGGATGGTCTACACCCGCCACAGGGCCAGCGGGGCTTCGGGATCCTGGGGCTCCTGGCCTGGTTCGGGACACCCAGCCTTCGGCAATCCGCCGCACCTGGCCCCGCCACGATACAGGCGCACACAGCGACCTCTCCCCACGCCAGGTGCGTGCTGGCTCGGGGACTTTGTCCTCCCTTTGTCCAGACTGAGTCTGACCAATGTCCCTTCCAGAATGCCCTCCAGGACCCGGAATGCGGTGAAGGAGCCGATCCTCGCACCCTTTGCGCCCTCAACCTGCGCTCTAGGCCGAATGCCCAGCTCCTGGGCTATGCCCAGCGGGCTCGGGCCCATAGCGCCATACTAAACAATTCAGGAATAAAGACACTTGGTTTTTTCTACAAAAACATTACTGTTCTGCTCCAGTGAGTGCTCAGGGGTAGACAGGAGCACACGTGACGCGAGGAGAGGCCTATGGAGGGGACCCGGGGCCCGCTCGGCTCGGCTCCGGGTGGCTCGGCCCGCCTAGAGCGCGGGGCACTGGCCGCCAGGTGAGCCAGCATCTTCGGGCCCCAGCCAGCACGTCCTCCTGGTCGTGCCTATTCTCCCGCGTCCGCCAGAGGTCGCTGGGCGCGAGACCTTAGAGCAGCTGGGCCGGGTTCCCCATCACGTGACGCCCCGCAGTCCGCCTGACTCCGGGCGGCGGAGGTGGGGTGCAGGCTGGGAAGGCCCGGGTTGCGGGGTCGGGGCGGTGGGCCCGAACTAGCGGAGGCTGGGGCTACGAGCTCAGGGCTGTGGCGGCCAGACCAGGCTCCACGCGATTGTCCAGGGTCAGGAGTCAGAGCTGCAGGTGCAGGACAGGGCGGGCCAGGTGGCACATTACTAGCGCCTTTCGCGTTGCATTCTTGGGATTGCCTAGCTGCGCTCTAGAGGTTTGCATCCGCCCAGTGAGGAAACTGAGGGCGAAAAGTGGGAGGAGGTTCCATCTACAGGGCCAGTCCACCTGCACCCCTCCCCACTGCACTTCTCCGCGACGCCGCAGGCGCTTCCCTGAAGGAGGAGCCCCGCGCGCGGAGGAGGAGCCAGGGCAGCCCCCGGGAGCCAGAACACCATTCTCCAGGATAAGAGACAGATTCTGACAGGCACCCCGCCACGGGCAGGAGGGGCACAGCCTCATGGAAGAGAAGCAAATTCTATGCGTGGGGCTGGTGGTGCTGGACATCATCAATGTGGTGGACAAGTACCCGGAGGAGGACACGGATAGCAGGTAGGGGCGCCCAGGCCCCTCGGAGACCCCATGGGCTATTGGATCTCCAACAGCGCCCGGCGCCAGTGTTCCAGGGTGCTGAGCCAGGGACCCCACAATGAGGCGGTGAGGGTCCAACCTCAAAAGCCCTCTGCCAGGGAAGCCTGGGAGCTCTCAGGAGAGAGGAGAGAATGGAGGACTTTCAAAATAAGACTCAGGCTTTGTATAACAGTTTGTAGCCTGTTCCCAACTCAGCTGTGGGACTGTGCCCGGCACCAGGATCCCCATTTTACAAGCAAGTAGAGACTGAGGGATGAAGTGATTCGTCCAAGGGGGTGCAGTTAGGAAGACGCAGGAGGTGTGGAGCCAGTTTTCCTTTTTTTTAAAACTCCAAACCTATGCACTTGCCTCTCACCCAATTTACCTCTAATTTATTTGCCACACACATATCTCAGCTATTTCTTAAAAATATGAGGTCGCTTGCAGTGAAAGGTGTGTGTAGTTAGATTGGCATTTGAGCTTTGACTGCAGCTCAGGGCTCACTAGCTCTGTGGCATCAGGGTCAGGGGAAATTTTTTTCTAATGTTAAATCCAAAAGGAATCTACCAGAGGCCTTTTTACAAAGACAGGTGAACAACAGTGGAAGTTGAAGTTGAAAAGTTATTGGACAGTTCTTATCTTTTTATTTTATTTTTAGTATTTTTAGTCATAGGTGGACACAATACCTTTATTTTATTTCTTTGCTTTTTAAATCTGGTGCTGAGCTTCAGAACGCACTGCCTCACATGTGCTAGGCAAGCGCTCTACCATTGAGCTACAACTCCAGCCCTTATCTTTACTCTTGATAAGGGCCACCCAGTGTCAAGCCACTGAGGTGTTTCTGAGGGATGGAACACTGGCTTTCTCTTGGTGCAGCCTACTACTCCAAGCAATGAGAATTGCTCCTTAGCTATTGGTTGTCTCAACCAAGAACTCGATGAAATGCAGTTCAGGGCTGAACTCTGGCAAGACGCTACAGCATGGACAGCTACAAGGCTGGCCGAAGCAGGAGACCAGGTTGCCCTTCTGGCTTTGAGTCCACAGAGCACTGTCACATTCACTGTTTCATACCTTCCCTGGGACCTGTGTAAGCACCAGTCAAATCCTTCTTATATATGAGGAAACTGAAGATCTGGAGAAATTCAATGATTTTTATCAGGCCCCATATTTAGTAAGTAGCAGAGCAGCGATTACAATTTATGTCTCCTACCTCCAAGTCTAGCGCTGTGGTCCTCTGCCATCTCCTGTCTTTCCTGTCCTTTTGCTGCCTCTCATCTCATGGAGTTAACCCTCTGCTTTGGGCTGCTTTGTTTGTCAGAGGTTTCGAACCCCTTGTCAGGGTGCAGAGACAGTGGGGAAGGGGCACTAGATATGCTATGTAGACCTAACTCACCTACCAAAGTAGAACCCGCTCCAGGACCTGGTGCTCAGTGAAGAGTTAGTCTTCCTCTCAGGAGAACATGCAAATTCCAGCACTGTAGTTTCTCCAAGGACTGTGCAAGGACCAAGGAAGACTTGAATTGTTGTTCTCCTTAAACTTGATGCTGTAGGAGGCCAGGAGAAGGAGGGCCTGCTAGCTCCCATGTTGATGAGGCAGCTTCAGAAAGTGAATCCTATGGGAAGTACCTCTGTAAGAGACCTTCCCTTGTTTTCTGAGCTTCTTGCCCTCTGCTGCCTGCCTCCCCCACCTCATCGCACTGTTTCTCTATAGCCCGGCTCCTGGACTCTCCTGGGCCCCTCAGAAGAGCAAGCCTGAGTTGGACCCATTCCTTCGTGGTCATCTGAGCTCTGCCTGTCCCAGGAACTCTGAGGTTATGGAGCTCAGCCAGACCTGTGAAGAGTGGCCCCTACCTCCCAAGGCCTATGTCAAGGAGAACCTTCCCCCAAGTGTCTTTATGTCTGCTGAGCAGCTCCACACAAGAGTATCAGTGAGACATCGAAGGGTGGTTCAGGGTGATATCCTGCAACCCTTCTTAGAAACCTCATTGATTCTTGGGCTTAATTGATTTTTGTTTCAAAATACAGGATAAATAGTAGTGGCTTTGGAGTTGGGAAACCTGGCTTCTAATATCAACTTTACCATTAACTATTCGTATGATCTTTAGCAAGTCCCATTTCCTCTAGGCTCCTCCTTTCTTTGCTTGAAAATTTCCCTAAAGCACATGGCTTGATGACTCTTTGACCCTTTACAAATTTGCATCCTCTTTTCCTCCTGAGATCATATTCCCCTGAAGGGAACTTCAAAGTTTTGTGTACAAGTATACCTTAGTCCAAAGATTCGATTTCACTTATTTCTCTTAATTAGTGGTTATTTATCATTTTTGTTGTTGTTGATAATGGAAATTCTTCAGGATTATCTTTTAAATTTTTTTTTTTAGTTGTAGATGGACACAATACCTTTATTATAGTTATTTATTTTTCTGTGGTGCTGAGGATCAAACCCAGTGCCTCATACCTGCTGGGCAAGCACTCTACCACTGAGCCACAACTCCAGCTCCTTCAGGTGTATATTGTTACTTTCCTTTTGATAGATTTTCAGTAAAGATGGAGAAAAACTGGTCTGCACTCGAATCTTTTGAACTTTTGACATAGTAGGTCACCTATTTTTGTTTTGTGGTGCTGGGGATGGAACCAGGGCCTCATTCATGCCAGGGCAAGCCATATCCCCAGGCCTTACAAACTTCTTAAGGAATCACAGCATGGGGTTTGCTTTCCTTTCTTGCTCATTTCATTTTGTAAGGTGTTTTATTGTTGAAGTTGACTCTCCTGAGACAGGAGTAGATTGCACATGTGATCCCTTTGAGAGGAGGCCTTAGGAGTTGATCTGGCCATCAAGGGGGAGGCTGAAAGGATGTCCTCTTGGGAGCAACTCTGACTGGAGGAAAGGGGTCATTGTGACCAAAAAGTGGACGCAGAGTTAGTGATGGAGCCCAATGAGTGCTTTCCTGCCCTAAGATCAGGTAAAAACATAAAAAGTAAATGTTTTGAGCTTGAATGTAACGCAGACTTCAGGGACAGAACTGGCCCACAGCTAAGCCCCTTCCCCTGGCTGAGCCTCAGCTGCCTAGGTGCTCTCTGAGGGACAGTAGTTGGCCTTGCTTCTCCCAGGACCAGTTTACTGGTGCTGCAGGGAGGGACCTGCCTTGTGCCTTCCAGGTGTCTCTCCCAGAGATGGCAACGTGGAGGCAACGCGTCCAACTCCTGCACCGTCCTGTCCCTGCTCGGAGCCCCCTGTGCCTTCATGGGCTCGCTGGCCTCTGGCCCTGTTGCCGAGTGAGTGCAGGAGGGAGCCCTTGCTGGGGGACACTTGCCTTCAGGGTGTGGAGAGAAGGGTGTCTGAACCCTGGGTGTGTGGGGTAGAAGAAATGAACAGTGGCCACCAGAAATGAGTGGGAGTGGGTATAGCAGAGTCCAGACTCTGAGACCTGTCTGAGGTGGCCTGTCCACCATTTGGGTATTAACGCTGTTCCTGCAAAGATTTCTTTTCCACAGCTTGCAGCAAAGCCGACCTAGGTTTCTCCACCTTTTGCTTCCTTCCTTGCTTCCTACAGATTGTGATGGATTCCCTTTGCCCTTCTCCAGACCTTTATCTTGGCTGTGCTCAAGGGAGAAGGCAGTTAGGGACATACTGTCCCCACCCTCCTCAGGAACATCCAGCATCCATGATCCCAGGGCCCAGGCCTACATTTTATTTCCCCATTGAAGGGCAGGGCCAATGTTCATGTCCTTGTTGTTCACTGAAGTAGCAAGAGTGCCTGGCTGGGGACATCTCAAAGCCACATGCTAGAGGTAGCCCAGAATCCACACCTCCCAGCCTGCGGTGGAGGCTGCGGTCCATAAGTGGCCCATGCGCTTTCTCCGTGTTGACTGCTGCAAGGACCCAAAAGCCCTTTGACCTCTGGCACTGCCGACTCAGCAAGCACATATCGGGAATGAGGCCCACACTTTGCCCACTGTGGGCATCAGGGCAGACTGCCAGGCTGCTGTCCTGTGAAGCACAGCCCTTTGAACCCTGGTTTGAAGGGGCTGTTGCCAGAGGCCAACTTCCTGAGTCGCAGCCAAACTCTCTGCCTCAAGGAGCTGGCATAAAACAAGGAGGGGGAGAGAATCTGTCCTGGAGATGGGACAGAGGGACTTGGCACCAAGGGCTCCATCACTTGTTAACCCTCTTCCGTTAGCTTCTTCCCTCCTAGTTGAAGGCAGAACTGTGGCTCTTGCCTAGGACAGTGGCCTCTCCTTTATAAAGCAATCATGCTGGTGGGTGGGCCATTCCGAATTCGCCTCATGTGTTCAACAAACATTTAATGAGCACCTACTCTATGCTAGGCATCGTAGGTGCAAAAAGTTATTTGGTAAACCAAACCTTATTTACTTTGGGAAAACTACTACTTAAAGTATCCTTGAATTGTAAGATGCCCACAACTCTGTCTTATCCAACTTTGATGTTTCTGCAAGTCAATGAAAAAACCCAGTATGGTGCTGGATTGCTGGGCATAGCTGCGAGCTCTTGAGCACAGAACAGTGTGATTCCAAGAAGGCTCAGGAACGGTGAGGCTGGGCTCCTAATTCTCCTGATGGTGCAGTCTTCTTGAAAGGATGTTCCTGGGCTCGCTCTGCTTGGAAGGTATTCTAGGAAGTTGTCCTAACCAGGCCCAAACTGGAGGGGCCTCAGGCATTCAAAGCCAGCTTATTGCCCAGGGAGCGTTTAACCTGGCTTGGAGAGAACACGCTAGTGAGCAGGCCCACCAAGCAGCACCAATTCCTGGCTGGGCACTATGGAAGCCAGCATAGCATTGAGAGGAATCATGGGAGGCCTGGAAGGGACTCCAAAGAGCAGAGCTCCATGGGAGTGATCGTGCAGAGGGCAGCTGGGGGGTACAAAGTACCACCTTGGTGATTAATAATTAATTCTGTCTTGGCCTGGCCCTTGCTTGAAAGGCTACAATGAATGCCCACACCTGCTTGATTCAAACAGGATATAGGTTCTAGACCTCAAATCTATCCCATATCTGGCTTTATGAGCAGGAGCAAATCTTCCCAAACTGAGCTGTACTGGAAGACGGAGTCAAGAGTTAGAGTTTGCTGTAGTCAGGACCTAAAAGAATGTCCTTTTGTGTTTCTCTCTCTGAGCTCCAGGCTCTGCACCCCTGCCAGGCCCCTCTTGCACAGCCTGTAGCAAACTGGGATTCTTAGTTCTCTCTCAGCCCCCTCTGCTCACACCTTGCTTTTCAGGGTCCCTAGTGGCCCTGCCAGCTGCCCTCCAGTCCCCCAAACCCTTGCCGAACTGCACCTCCCCTGGGTTACTCCACCCTGGCAGTTTTGTCCTGGATGACCTCCGTCGCTATTCCGTGGACCTACGCTACACGGTCTTTCAGACCTTGGGCTCCATCCCCATCTCCACAGTCATCATCAACGAGACCAGTGGTAGCCGCACCATCCTCCATGCCTACAGGTTTGTGCACCTGTTTGTGCTTTGCCAGATGCCGCCGCTGTCACCAAACGTCCAGGACAGGACCCTTCTTCTCTCATAGGCCGTGTGCTCCAGCACTGCTTTCCCACTCCTGTGGGAGGTCCAGGCCATGTGTGGGCTCTAATCTGTGTCTCCTTGCCCTTTTTCTGGCTCGGTCTCCACCCCAAGCTTCCTGGTGGCTGACTTCAGGCGGCGAGGCATAGATGTGTCTCATGTGGCCTGGCAGAGTAGAGGGGACACCCCCTGCTCTTGCTGCATCGTCAACAACTCCAGTGGCTCCCGTACCATTGTGCTCTACGACACGTAAGGCCCCCTGGCCTCAACCTGCCACAACCCACCAATCAGTTCCCTCATTCACCACTGGGGACAACCCAGGTCCCCCCACCAATGGCTTCTCTGAATCAGAAATTGCCCCCAAGTCCAACTGTTCAGTGATTTCTGAATTGTTTTCAATTAGGGGAGAAGTGAGGTGGGAAGAGGTGGGTTCTGGTCTGCCTGGTCACTTGGCCTTGGTCAACACCAATAATGAGCAGGCAGACCTGTACAAAATGTGATTGATGATGTGATTCTTTCATAATTAGTCAATCAGCAGCTTGGGTGTGGGTGTGGGTGTGGGGAAATTGTTTCCAGGACAGATGGGTGGGAGATGTAAATCAATCCCTATTATACCAACTAGGATAGGGGACTCAGATTTTCAGAGTCAGCCCCAGGGTTGCCACCCTGTGGCATGGCATCAAGAGCTGGGTTTTGTGTGTCCGAAAGGGATGAGGGGCACCCAAAAGTCCTAGCATGATGAAACCAAACACACCACACACCATTTGCAGCTATTGCTAATGGAGAGGGAAGGGAAACTGGGTCAGCAGGTCAGGACCATCTGATGTGGTGGTAAACTTGGGGATATCCCTCTGGTGTCCCACGGTCCTCAGGAGAGGTCCTGTGGGGCTTGACATTCCTTCCCCTCCAGATTCCTTCCTGAAGAATCCCAGAGGTTCAGTTTACTGAGAACCTAGTATGTGCCAGGGACTGTTAGGGCGGGAGGGCCCAAGCCCAGCTGCCCTGGGGTTCAGGCTCTCTATTGTCTGGCACGACCACTGGACCTGGGGAAGGGGGAGGTTATGTCAAGACAGACTTTATGATCCTTGGGGTCCATGTGTCCCAGAGTGAGTAGGTACACATATGTGTTAGAGGTGACATTAAGATTGGGCAGTCATTGTCATCTGCCCATTAAGCAGCAATCTGGAGCAACTTTGATCAAGGATACAACATGGGACTCACAAGAAGGGAGGGGAGGAACTTTGGGGAGAAATGTTTCTTGCCCACTGGTCGCTATCCAGACATGTTCACGCACACATCTCCAACTTCAGCAGGCAGGTTTCAATCCCATGAGATTGCGGGTTTCAGTGCCATGGAGAGATGGGGAAGCAGCCTCAGGTCACACAGTTAGTGAAGTGGACCAAGGATTCAGCCTCAGAACACAGAGGGAGGACATCAGCTGGACGTAGGTCTCTGGCCAAGGCGGGTTGAGATAGATCTCTTCCTGGGTCTCCACATATAGGACAGCCAAACATAAACTTTTCCTCAAGTGCCAACTTTGATCTCAGGGTTACAACAGGAAGCTGCTAAACTCAGAATAGGGTGCTCTGGGTGTTATGAACAAATTCCCAGTGCTGAAGCACCAGAACCGAGCAGGACTAGAGTGAGCTCCCAGCAGGGTGGCCATAGGCTTTGTAGTTCAATGGGTGAGAGCTTTGCTAGGAGCTAGTGTAGTCCCTGGCACTTTTAGAGCATTCTGGGAGATGTGGTCTCCAGAGCACACAGAGCTGGCCCCTTGGCACACGTTGTAGTTGAGTTTACCCTTAGAAATAGTACAGCGTCAGTCTCAGAAAGGGGAACCTCAGCAAACTGGTACAGAGCTTATCCTAGAGCTGAGGCTGGGAACCCTGTGCTTCTTAGCACCCTGCTCTACCATTAGTAGTGCTAGTAGGCAGAGGGCCCCCAGCAGTCAGTCAGAGATCATGGCCCTGGCTGACCTTATGCCCTTTCTTCTCTATCCTTCCCATCTTGTGACCCAGGAACCTACCAGATGTGTCTGCTAAGGACTTTGAGAAGGTGGATCTGACGCGGTTCAAGTGGATTCACATTGAGGCAAGCTCTGCCTTACCTGTGTTTCCAGGGGTTCAGCCTACCAGGCCCATCCACATGTTCTGCTTCCTTCTTGGGTTCTTTGGACTATGAAGTACCTTAGAAATAAATGAATCCACCCTCCCACCTCCCCTCTCCATTCTCCCTAAGTCTTTCATGTAAGAAAACTAAGGCCAGAAGGACTGGGTGAAGGAGGCACTGGCTCTGCTACTTTTTGTGTTATGGTGGCCTTGCCTCGCCCAGCTCTACCTCTGGCAGGAGGCTGGATGCTTAGGGATTGACCTATCTTACATCCGAGGAAGCAGGAATAAGATGGTCGGACCCAGATCTCAAAGAGAACTAGAACCTTCATCCAGGGGAGAAGTTTTGAAGTCTAGTCAAAGGAAACCCAAGGAGTCCTGAGTTCCAGCCCTATCCCACTCATTTAACTTACTGCAGGTCCTTCAGAAAGCCTCTTATTCTATAGTGTTCACATCTGTGAAATGGGAGAGCTAGTTGGTAAGGTCTTCAGAGTCTATGGCAGCCCTAGAATTTTGTAACTTAGGATGAGTTTCCAGCTCAGCTTCCCCAGCTCCTCTCCCTCCTCACCCAAAGTCCAACAGGGAGGGAGGATGAGCTAGATTGGCCAGAACTGCCTGAGCTACCCTGTTCTGTCCCAGGGCAGGAATGTTTCAGAACAGGTAAAGATGCTGCAGCGGATAGAGCATCACAATGCCAGGCAGCCTCCAGAGCAGAAGATCCGGGTATCCGTGGAGATAGAGAAGCCCCGAGAGGAGCTGTTCCAGCTGTTTGGCTATGGGGAGTTGGTGAGTGCCCCTGCAGCCCCTTCTTGCCACATCCAGCCAACTCAGTTCTTAAAGGGAGCTGGAGAGGCCCCTGACCTGCCTGCCACACTCAAAATGGCAGCTCTGGGGTGGCAATGTTGGAAGGGCCAGAGCTCCAATTGTAGGTTCTCCAGTGGCCAAGAAGTAGGATTTTTCTACCTCAGGTGGGTGCACAGGAATAAGTGTGCCCAGAGGGTTTGCTCACGGCCTGGAAAACCACAGGCATCTCCTCTTGGGCCTCCTGTCTTTTTCTCTGCAAAATGAGGGAACTGAACTATTCTCTGGTTTCAGGCCTCTTCCAACTCTGGGGTGTGAGTGGCAGGTTGTAGAATCTACTAGAATTGAGGGGAAGGTGAGAGGGAGACTTACACAACTGGGCAGAGCCTAGTACAAATTCAATTTAGGTAACAATCCCAGCATCAAAGCCAAAGCTGGTTGGAGATGTCTAGCTTTTGGTCCTCAGCCTTGGTGTATCATTTTAAAAAAACAATTGCCTGAGCCTCACCTCCTCATTTGTTTTTTTTTTAATTGGTAGGGGTAGAACCAGCTCTATTTCTTTTTCTTTTTTTTTTTTTTAACAAAAACTATTTTTGGAGATTCGATCGTATAGTTAGTGGTGGATTTCTAGAAACCCTAGAGCTTTGTTTTACAGATGAAGAAACAGGCTCTAGAGGGCACGGTGGTGTGGGGAAAACAAAACAAAACTATTCCTGAGAGCCAGGGTGCTTTGACTGGACAGGATAGATTTCACCCTAAGATGGCATTCCAGGCTCTCTGTGGGTTTTCAATTCGCTGATCCTAGAGCAAATAGACAGGGTTTTGCCTTCACAATTCATAAGGCTATAGTCTAGCATGTTTTAAGCAAGCATAAAAACGGGACAGCAAGATGCCGTGTTGGAGATTTATGTGGCCATGTTGGGGGAATCATGCTATAGCCTAGGGCCACACGGGGCTTTTGTTGGTAAGTGACTAGAGTTAGAGGTGGCTGCCAGCTTCTCTTCCACTGCCCACAGGTGTTTGTCAGCAAAGATGTGGCCAAGCACCTGGGGTTCCAGTCAGCAGTGGAAGCCCTGAGGGGCTTGTATGGTCGTGTGAGGAAAGGGTGAGTGGGGAAGCCAGAAGGGGCCTTAGGGAGTTGGTGGGGGGGAGCCTAGACTCCCAGGGTCTGCCTGACAGGTCTGGAGTGGGCCAACCCCCAGCTGAGTGGAAGTCTTACAGGGCCACCCTTGTCTGTGCCTGGGCTGAGGAGGGTGCTGATGTCCTGGGCCCTGATGGCCAGCTGCTCCATTCGGATGCCTTCCCACCACCCCGGGTAGTGGACACTCTGGGGGCTGGAGATACCTTCAATGCCTCTGTCATCTTCAGCCTCGCCCAGGGTGAGTACCCCAGCCAGCAGGGTCAGGACTGAGGCCTACCCTTTTTAAGAACACCAGGATGACCCACTATTGTCCCTCCTCTAGGCAAGAGCATGCAGGAGGCACTGAGATTTGGCTGCCAGGTGGCTGGCAAGAAGTGTGGCCTACAGGGGTTTGATGGCATCGTGTGAGGGCCATGTGGCAGGAGACACGGGCTCATCGTCTCCCTTGAAGGCTGGCATCACTGGCTACCACTGCCTTCGCCCTTCGTCTAGCCTGGCATCCAGGCTGCCCTGAACCCAGGCAGATGTGGTCAGTGGGAAGGACTCTGCCTGTGTCCTGTGTCCTTTGTCCCTCCCTTTCCCCATATCTCACCCTGCAGAGCCTCAGATCAAATAAATCTTCCCCTGAGCCAGTTTCCTCTGGCCACCTATTTGTCCTTCTTGATGTTGATACTGCTCTGAGACTTTAACACTATGGTCTTTCCTCTTTTTCTCCATTCCCCAAATTAACCTCCACGACTCCCAGAGGAGTTGCTGCCACAGCAGCAGGAAGCACCTAGTCTTGTGGTCAGCTGTGTGGGAGGCTCAGCTTTCCCCTGTGAAGATAGATCATCCGCGAGTAGGGGAGAGGGAGAGACCTTGAGCTCTCTTGCCACAGCCCAGCCATCCATCCAAATAACCAGAAGCCTTGAGGAAAGCCTCTGCTCTGTGCAGGTTCCACTTAGAGGCCCCAGAGCCAGGAGTCAGCATGCCAGACCACAGGCCAGTGAGCAGGAGCCAACTCTGTGGTTCTGTGGGGCCCTCATAGTCCAAAAATACTGCTTCCATTGGCTGCCCCAGAGTCTGCCGTGTGGTTAAGGTGCAAATGTGGCCCAGATACAAAGTGTTGCTGTCCCTCTGGTAGGTCAGGTCCAAATGGTCCAAATCCTATTGTGGCCAACTCCCATAATGGAGTTGGCACAGGAAGGGTGACGCCATGTAACGTGATCAAGAGCATGGGTATCAGCCTGAGGTCTGAATTCAATTCTGCCATTTATTAGCCATGTGACACTTTATGGCCCATTATTTAACTCCACCTTCTGCAATCTCTTTTATGTCAAATGGGGCTAATTCTGCCTGGTCATAGAATTATTATGAGGATAAAAATCAGACAACCTAAAATGTCAGCATCGTACTTGGTATATACTAGGCTCTCAATAAAATGATAGTTATTACTAATATTACTGGGGGGTGTTGCACAGAGACAGGGTGATAGGGACCATCTGTCCTGAGCTGCAGGAGGGAACAGGGTATCTGAACCCAGTAAAGAGGGAACAGGAGGTTGTTTGGGCCCCAGGGGTAAACTGAGTCTTCTTCATGGGGTTATCTGCAGCTAGTACTAGAGACTCTGCTGTCTTGGCACCCCAGGCCCAGGCACACTGGGAAAGCTTAATTTCTGCCCCTCCAAGAGGCCTGTCTAGTTGCCAATTCCCTGTGCCCATTGGGGATGGACTGGTGGAGAAATGGCCCAGGGGAAGAATTCATTTCATTGTTTATTTGTTGTTTGGGCCTGAAAGCTGTCCCTTAACTTAGGGCGCCCCCTAAGCTCAGAAAGACCTGCAGAGAAAGACCTGCCATCCACTGGGGCCCGAAAGGCCAGAGGTGGTCCTCATTCCAACCTATACGCCCCTGCCCTTTGCGCTTATGTTCCTTCACAGAGAACACAAGGGACACAGGCCCGTCTCCTCCAGGCTTACATCTCATCGTTGTCCAGTTGAATATTATGCACCTCAAACTCATTTGGGGTGTTCTTGGACTCCAGTGTTTCTCCTGGAAGCTCTTTGCCTTCCCTTCCATTGTCCCTAGCCACTGCCTGTCCTGTGGCCTCCCCTCCAGGACCTGGGGCATCTCCTTCAGCCTCTACCTGTCCCCTGGCCTCCCCTCCAGGACCTGGAGCATCTCCTTCAGCCTCTACCTGCCCCCTAGCCTCCCCTGTGGAGCCTGGAGTATCTCTTTCAGCCCCTGCCTGATGCCCAGCCTCCTGTATAGGCTCCAAGGATTCCCTTCTGGCTTCTTCCTGGCCTCCGGCTTCTTCTCTGAGACCTAGGGCTTCCAGGGTTTCTTGTTTCAGTGGGACCTTAGCCAGTGGGGGCTGCCTCCCAGCAGCTTGTAGTTCCTGAGGAGCTGGAGCAAGGTGCTCTCTGGGCTCTGTATGCCCTGCATTCCCAGGGGCCTCTCCTGGGAAGCTGATGAGCTCTGCAGGGGTCATGAGCCCATCCCTATTCAGGTCCTGGGTCTCGAGCACCTTGTCCACTACCAGGATCACCTGTGGAAGCACAAAGTCACCATGGGGTCTCTAGTGTCCAAAGATGTTCCCAGGAGCCTTGTCCCTTCCCAATACCCCCCCATTCCTGCCATGCAGGATCTAATCCCCCTCCCTCTTACAGGGAATCTGTAAAAAGTCATGATGAAAATATCCAAAGTGCCAAGGAGCTGGTCTCCTGGTCTCCAGCAGAGCTTACCGGGTTGATGGGAAAGTCAGCAGCCCTTGGGGCCAGAGCTGCTGTCAACATGGACAAGAGCTCCAGGCCATCCAGCTGTCCACTCTGGTCATAGTCATGGAGGGCAAAAAGGTAGAGGAGAACTGGGGAGGAGAAGCTGAGTTAGAAGAGGCCCTGAGGACAGGTGAAAAAGGCAGGAGCCAACAGGGCAGCCAGGGCTCAGTCCTAGTCTGGCTGCCCTGAGCCTCCCAGCCCAGCAGCCCAGCAGCCCCTCACCCTGTTCCCGATTCATGTGCTCTGGCTCCTCTTCCATTCTTTCTAGTCCCTTTAGGTAGTTCTGCAGAAGTCTGTTGGGAAAGTAGCAAATCAGCCCCGGCAAGGCCAGTCCCCAGGCCTGACATAGTCACCCAAGGACCCAGCCCAACCTACTCACCGGAGCTGCTCTGGGCCTGGCTGGAAGGGGTTGGACAGGGGCTGCTGCTGAGCTTCAGGGTCTGGCCTGGAGGAGAGAAGGACCAGCATTGCAGAGAGCCCAACCTGCCAGCCTTCCCCCACTGTCTCCCAGTAGAATTCTCTCCCCAGAACCAAAGGGACTTGTTCTCTCAAATTCCCAAAACCCTTGTGGGAAAGAAGGCTTCCAGACTCCTTGGATTTTGTTTTTGCAATTGCCTTGTTTAGACTTTCAGTGAAAACCCAAAGAAAGTATCAGGTGAAGGCCAGGTGCGGTAGCACTCGCCTGTAATCCCAGCATCTTGGGAGGCTGAAGCAGGAGGATCAGGAGTTCAGAGCCAGCCTCAGCAAAGCGAGGTGCTAAGCAACTCAGATCCTATCTCTAATAAAATACAAAATAGAGCTGGGGATGTGGCTCAGTGGCCCAGTGCCCCTGAGTTCAATCCCAGTGTCCCCTCTCCCCACAAAAAGAAAGTATCAGATGAGGTAGAGGCCAAATGAGGCCACACCTTATAGACACAAGTCAGGGGCCTAAGAAGACAGCCCAATGAGTGGAGGACAACATGGATCATGGCAGCCTACTCCTTCATTGCTGGGAGCCAAGGAGCAGGTCTCTAGCTAGGCCTGGCAGTGTCACCCAGGTTTAGATAGACACAGATTACAATTAACTATTTTTTCAAGGAGAGGGTGCATATGTCAAAATGTGCTCCCAGTTCTAGATGGAGCTACGTGTTTGCCCTTGTCAGTGCAGGCTTGTAATGCCAGAAAGCTGGCAGGGGTTGTTGCAGTCATTTTGGTCACAGGTGCCAGCCTTTGCCACTCTTCCTATATTTTTCTCCATACCTACCCAGTATATCCAACTGCACAGCATAAAAAAATAAGACCTTCAGAAAGTGATTCTATGAAACAGAAGTGATGTGGGAATGATGTCTATTTCTTTGGTGTTCCCACAAGTAGGTCTTGATTAGAGGACCACAGCCCTTTTCCTGGCCTCTGGCTTCTTACTGGCACTTCACCCACATTGGAGCTGAGTTCTCAGCTTCCAAAGGGCTCCAGCCAAGTGTTGAATGCCAACGTTGTGACATTCTGATAGGCACAGGACAGGTGGTTGGAGTGGGGATTCAGAGTTCAGGGAGCCTACTCCCCAGTCCCAGCTCCCAGAGGCACCTAGCACACCCTCTGAGTTCTCCAAAAACTCTCCTTGGCCCAGCCTAGGCCCTGCCCTCCTAATCCCTTACCTTGTGGCACCATCCTTGGGAGCAGCTTGACTCAGCGGGAGCAGCAGCAGTGGCAGCATTAACGCTCTCATCTGCCAAGGTGACATCCTTCCTAGAACTGGATCTGGGAATAGAATTAGGGTTTCAGGGGACAGGGGTGTCTGCCACCATATTGGGGACCATTTGGGTCAGCAGACAGAAATGCCTTCTTTCTTTGCCTCTACCTGCAGAGCAGGGGACAGGATTCTTGCCCAGGGAAGATTCCTGGGTGGATCTTAGCAATCTTCCATGGCATTGTGTTCAAAATCCATCCTACTCCAGCTCCAGGCCATAGAGCAGCGCTGGGAAGTGGGGGGGGGGCAGGGGCCCCTCCCCAGATTACATGCATTCTGTCCCTGTCAGCCTGCAGGGTGCTCAGAGAGGTACCACCTTAAGTGTCACCTAACTTTAGTTCAGGTCACTTGTTTATTTTGCAGTGCTAGGAATGAACCCAGGGATTTATTTTAAAAAAATGTTTTTTGACTAGTAGAGCAGTCTTCTACTGAGCCACATCCCCAGCCCCAGGCCATTTAAAAAAAATTTTTTTTGTAGTTGTAGATGGACAGAATGCCTTTATTTTATTTGTTTATTTTTATGGGGTGCTGAGGATCAAACCCAGTGTCTCAGGCATGCTGGCAAACGCTCTGCCTCTGAGCTGCAGCCCCAGCCCCCAGGCCATTTGTTTTATAGACAGAAAGGGAAAAGACAAGATTAGCTACTCAGGGAGTCATATGAAGACCAAGACTTAAACAGAGACACAGACAGGGAGACAGATTGTTAGCTTGTGCTTATTAAAAAAAAACACTGGAAGACAAATCCAAAAAAGGCACAGACTCCTTAAAAAATTCAAACTAAGGTATAGATTGAAAGCAACAAATCGAAGTCCAACCACAGTGGCCCAGGAGTTGCTGTTTACCAAAGGCAGTTAGGAAAAGCAGATCTCAGTATGAAGGAAAAAATAAGAATTTCCCCTGAGAGCTATATTATGTAGGTTCATACGCCAAAAAAAGAAGTCACTTGATTACATGGAAAGAGTCAAATTGGCAGAGCCAGGGTTGTGGCTCAGCACTAGAGTGCTTGCCTAGCTGCATGAGGCACTGGGTTCGATCCCTGACACCACATAAAAATAAGCAAATAAAATAAAGGTATTGTGTCCATCTACAACTAAAAAATAAATAAATAATTTTTAAAAAGAGTCACATTGGATCAATTGATGAAACCAATCAATTGAAAACAAAACACAAA